ATATGCTAATGTATTTACTTGTTGATTGATTGATTTTTTTTTTTTTGGTACTGGGAATCAAACTCATAACCTTGTACTTGCCAAGCAGGTGCTTGTGCCACTAAGCTAAATTCCTGGACCACCAATTATTTTTGTGTTATTATCACTTTACAATTAGCTGTGTCAGGTAATTTTTCCCTATTTACCTGAGATGTTCTGTTGTCTTATTAGCTTCAATTAGTACTTCTAGAAAGCATATATGTAGTTACACTTTTCCTATAGTGTAGGGTTGCACACTGTATGCTTAGAAAAATGAATATTGAAGAACTTTAATCTCTGTGGTTTATTCTTACTGGCTGCCTTTTATTAGATTGTCTCTAGAAGTACAGTTAAATGAGTTGTTTATTTAAATTACAGAAACATGGCAACTCAATTTATTTTATGTAAATGCAAAAATACATAATTATTAATTCACTCATTTTTTTACTCCATGAATAGATATTGAATGATTTTATAGGTACAAATTTCAGTTAGGTACAAAGGTGACATGAAGATTTCTAAGGCATCAACAAAAAGGAGAGAATAGCTGATTCAAATTACAGAATATAAAACAAAAAGATATTTGACACAAAGATAATTATCCTGAATTTGTCATTTACAAAAAGAGAAACTAAGATGCAGTAGGGTCAATGTAGAAAGAAGCAATAGAAGTTAGGGTTACACAGATCCCCAGTCCAGACATTTTTTGCTATATAATCCAATTCAATAACGAAAAAGTGAATGCCATGATAATCAAAAGACTGTAAGCAAAAAATAACAAATTACAGCTAGTTAGGAGAAAGAGGAGATATTTGATTTCTGGGGGTACGAAAGAGAAGGCAATATCTTCCTAAAGCATGGTGAAGGTGATGTGCAGAGATGTGGGATGGGAACTGAACATTGGATAACAAAGACATCGAATCCCAAGCACTTGGAGTGCTAGCCCGAGGAATCTGAGCTTCACTACTTAGAAACTTATTATTTGCTTTAGACATTTATGATTTAATTGGATCAATCTCACAGTGAAACATGGGTGGGAGAGGCAAAGCAAATTCATCTGAGAAGCTACAGGAACCGCCAAGGTGAGGAATGCTCTGCAGTTGTCAAAGTGTGGAGAAGAGGGGTGACTTCACCAGAGGCGCAAGAGTCAGGAAACATAGATCTCAGCTGAGAAGACACAATGATCAGAAGGACATTTTCAGTTACCATTAAAAGACTGCTGCAATGTTTCAGAGACTGTTGTTTTAGTGACAAGTGGATAGCATTGTTTTCATTAAAATGACCAGGTAATTTTGCAGATTGGCAATTTTAATAACATAAGAAGTTGTTTTACAAAAATTATTTAATAAGGTCAGGAAATCAGACCTCCAAGCTCATTCACACAGCTTTCCCTAGGATTGTCTTGCCTTCCACAGTCAATTAAGCAGAAATGACCCTGTCCCTTGTATCACTGTGGTCTTGAACATACTTTTGTATTATACTCAGTATTCTTATATAAACATGTATTTCTCCTAATCTACTATAAGGGCTTTGAGAAAAGCAATATGCTTTTATTTTGTTTCCCTTGGGCTTAGATCCCCATCTGTGTGCATCACCAAAGCCTTCTGTGCATGAATTTATCCATTATTGTACAAAGGGATTCCCAAACTATTTAATAAAATCCATTTGTCTTACATCTACAAGATTCCTTTCATGTGCCGGCAAAGCACTGCCCAAACAGGAACTGTGTAGGGGTGTGAAATGACTTTTAGTTAACCAATTCTGATCCTGAAATATCACCACTTCCTTTTCCAGATTAGGCAACTTTTAAACATCTATTTTAGAATCGGTGTGTGCCTGAGGTCAAATATTTCAGTCTGTAGTTATTGAATTGTAAAAGAGTTAATGTATTTTGTGTGGGCTAGGTATTCTCAGCATCTTCTGTGTAATTATCATAATAACTTCTTGAATTATATTCCATTTTATAGATGAGGAAAGTAAAGAACAGGGATGCTTAATAACTTCACTGAGCTCATACAGCTAATCAAGTGTAAATCTGGTAGTTTTTCTTAACAGTTAAAATTCACAGTTTATGCTGTCCAAACTTTTTTTAGTCCTCCCCCTTACAATTGAAAATATAAATAATTATCAATTTTAGTGTTCCAGAACTTATCTGGTCCTATAGTCTCTCCAATATTTGTGAGACATTATGAAATCTTAGTAAACTTGTTCAGCAAACAGAAAGATTTCAGCAAGATGAAAAGAGCTATACAAAAATCACAGGAAACCTAGTGTACTCTTATCTTTTATCTTTGTTACCCTTTTCAGGCATATAGCATTTCATTGGTTCTGAGGTCTCAGTCTAAATACTTTTCTGTAAACATAGTTGGGATTTTTAAAGTTATGTTCCCTGTAGATTTACACTGATGTCTATTGCTAGTTATTTTAGTAGAACATCATATATTCTATTTGTATACCTGTCTTCTTACTGGATTACTAATCTCTTGACAGAAGAGATGGTGCCTTGTCATTACTTGTCAAATGTGCCTTGTCATTGCACATTTGACACACAGCAGGTGTCCCACGAAGATGAATGAAATTAGAATAAAGCAACATGAGTTCTAAAGATCTCAGATTTTTCTGTGTCAGCAAAGTTTCCATGACCATATTATCCCCCAAGAAATCAGATTCTTACTCTTTCCTCGTTAGTATTTTTTTAAAAAATTAAGCCAAAATAAAATTAAGCCAAAAACAAACCCAAAAGTCAGTAGCCCCTTTCCTTATTTCAGATTTTTACTCTTACAAATTTTAATTCACTTTGCAGTATAGTTTTTTGGGCTTCACTTTGGAGATTTAAGCAACTACCTTAAAATTGTCCAGTTATGTCTTCTTTCTTGCATAATGTTCTTTTGGACCTGAGCCAATAAAAATGTTATTTGATGACATTTGTCTTATATGTCCTTCTTTAATTATCCATCTGGTTACAGGATAAGGAATTTCATTTGAACAGTTTCTCATTGATCAATCAAATTGTACTTTATTACATTTCACTCTTCTGGAAGTTTTGCAATCTGTGTTCTCCAAAACATAGAGATTAGGATGAGTGATTCTTTTCATTAGTAATTTACGTGAATTTTCATGCTTCTGACTTTAGCTAACATACCAAAAACAGAACTTAGACAAAGTTCATAACGTAATCAAGGTGAGTCATCTTCAAGTAGCAGATACTTGCTTAAAAGTGCATCTATCTTATGGTAAAGCTCATGCATTTACTCAGCATTGTGAAGTGCACGCTCATCAGTTCTATGCGAGGTACAGGAAGCCACCAGAGCCTCATCCAAGGCAAAACCTAAAACCAGCTTGCCCAAGTAAGTCAAGTAATACTTAGCAAAACTGGAATTAAAGGTAAAATTTCTCAGTGCTAGTTCAGTGATTTTTCTGTGTCTTTATATCTTCCATCATGGGGAACTGGTAGAGAAAATATTTTACATAGTATTTCAAAAGATCAGAATAAGCTCTAAGAGTGTGGAGGAATATTGCATTACTGGATTCAAACATTGATTAAGAAAAACATTGGCTTCTCATCCTTCATTTCCTGTTTTTATTTATATGCAGTGAAAATAATAGTATGTTCCGTAAAAGATTTTGCTGGCCCAATCCTCCAGTTTTAGGTGGGTGACATTATTAGTGGTTCCTTTTCCAGACTCACTGTTAATGCATCTTCCTTCTCATTTTTTCACTTCTGCTTTCATAGCCACAATGGAGAAGTTTATAGGAAAAAGCAGGCAAAGGAAAACTTCCTGTGCAAATTCTGGTTCAACAATTTTCTGTAGGACATTTGAAAAGATCCAAGAGTTTCTGAAAAAGAGTTTAGTCTACCCTTTTAGTTGATTAATTTTATCTTTTTACATTTTTTGTATTCCTTCAAAGAGAGTCATCCAGCCATTGGTGGTATCCAGTTCTCTTAACAGTGACCCCTTACTTCAGAATAAGTCGAACTCTTTTCTCATACAAGAGTCCTTCTATTTGTGAGGAGTGGAAACATCAATGACTAAGTTTTCCCTGCCCAGGAAGAGCATCCCAGTTGTTATAAAAAGCAACAGATGGAAGGATGGAGATTGAGGACTCAGTGATCTGGCTTGATTGCTTATGAATCTTGTTCCTTGGTCAAGGTACTCAACGCCTCTCAATTTCAGCCCTGTCATCTATCAAATGAATGTAATGGTACTTATATTATAGCATGATGTGGTGATCAAAATACACATCAGGGAAAATGTCAAAGGCATTTCTGCAATATTAATAAGTCTGACTATTCCTAAAATTTCCTTATCCCTTAATTTTCAAAATACTTTACTACACAACTTTTTTTAACGTTGTGCAAGCTTTTGTCATTTCTTTGCTTTTAAATTGGTTTATAAATGTGATTATGGCTGTCTTGCTTCAGCTTATATTCATTTACATTCAAATTGGAATAAGCACTTCACAGTGTGGCTTGTCTCTAAAAGATTTAGGAAGAGAATTTATTCCCTGATGAAAATAATGCTCTTCTTCAGTATGTCTCAGATGTCACAAAATGTTATTAGTAGTCTTTTCTTTTTTTTTTTCCTCAGGCCATCTTTATTTTATTCATGTGCAATCATGATATTTATTCTAGAGGCAGGATTTCATATTGGTTAAATTTCATACTCTTGATATTGACATAATGTGTGTGTTGAGGATGCTCAATGGGACCTCTCGATATGTTGCTATATATCATTTTCCTTTCTAATATGCTTTGAATATGGCCTGTGTAAGGCTTAGGGATATTTTCTTCTACCTTCTTATTTCAAGGCTGGAGGCATTTGTACCTATAAATAGAAGTTCTGAAATACTTTTGGATGGAATTTTTCAAGGTATCCAATTCTTTATAATCTCTTAACAGATTTAAGATAGGCCTTCTGCAGGCATTTTTTTCTGTTACTCAGTTGGTGGTATGGGAAGAAAAACTAAGTGGCTTACCTTCCTTACCAGTGTTTATGAGTAATCTTGTCATTTGATGAAAACTTGTTGGTGTCCTCATAGAAGAGGTTGTCCCCATACATTTCTCTTTTGTTTGCTATAATGATGAAAGAGAAAAGGCTGATTCATATAATTTCAAATTCTGATGACTTTCCGCATCTAATTATTGCATAAGAGCCCTTCTTTCCATCAGAAGGAAGAGCATATTCACTTGCAAGCGTTTATTTTCTATGTTGTCATCTGTTTGTGCTGCCATCAGGGAATCTGGGAGACCAGATTACAGAAAGGGCAGAAGTTCATTTGTCACAATGTGGGGACTGGAGACCGGAGGTGAAGGTTCTGACATCTGATGAAGGCCTTCCTTCTACACCCCCAAATGGTGGGAAGACAGAAAAGAAAGACAGGACACATCTACTTCCATGGGTCCTTGTTAGTGTGCTCTAATCCACTTATAAGAGTGACGCTTTCATCAACCCAATGCCTTCCCTTAGGATCTACTTTCCAACAGTGTTGTACTTTTTACACTCCTCTGCCAAAATTATTTTGGTATCTTGTTAACTACTATCTTTTTATTTATTTTATCAGCATTGGGGATTAAAACTCATGCCCACTGCATTGAGCTGTGCATGTCCCCAAACATTTTTATTTTTATTTTTCTGTCTCACTTTAGTTTCTCACCAAATTGCTAAGCTGCCTAAGCTAGGCTCATGCTTGCAGTTCTCCTGCCTCAGCCTTCTGGGAGCGAGAATTACAGGTGTGATAGCTTCTATTTGCCTCCAATCAATTCTAATCCTCTAGAAGTGTCGTTTCCGCTCCCAAGGATACTTGTCTTAGCCCCTTTTCACACAGCTAAGTCTGATATTCATTCATTTCTTTCTTTGGCTGAAATACAAGTTTCTTAAGGAGGTTTTCTCCAATATCCAAAGTAGGGTTCTCTGCTCTTTTAGCTCAGAGGATCATATGACAATATCATTTTATTTTGTTTTTATTATCCCTTTATCTCTCAGTGGCTTTCATTAAGTTAAGGACTTTGTAGATGTTTTGCAAACTTCTGTATCTTCCTAGAAATTGGCACCTGTAATTTTTTTAGTAGTAATTACTGAGTGGAGTAAACGAATGAGTAACGATCCACTCTGTCACCTCTACTGATTCCTTTTTGTTTTTCATGTGTCACCTGTGGTGGTATGTGTTGCAGTTTCGAACCAAAATGCTTCCCTAAAGATTCATAAGTTCAGAGGTGAGGCTTTTGGGAGGTGATTGGATCAGGAAGGTGTTATACTCATCAGTGGATTAATTCATTGATGAGTTCTTAGTTTATTATGTTATTAAAAGGAGGGAACTGGCTTGAAGAGGTGTGTCACTGGGGGTGTGCCAGGGAGAATGAGTCCCCTGCCTGTTTTCTCTCTTTTTTCTGCTTTCTGACTGCCATGGGATGAGCACTGATACTTTTCCCCAGTGTGCTCTTCCATCAAGATGCTTCGGCTTTGGAGTTAGCTGACTGTGGACTGAATCACCTGAACCTAATTAAGCCTCTCCTCTAAGTTGTGTTGGGTATGTACACTAGAAATGGCAAAGTAAATACATTTTTAATCTATAAAAAGATGTGTTAGAATGCCACTTGCTATTATTGTTGTTCTCACTAGATTTGGTCTGTTTTTTGTGGTAACCAATCTCTTTAGAAATATCCGTAACAGAATTCTCAGACGTTCAGATACTGGAAAAATTTATATTATCATGACTAATCAAAGATTTAAGAACATTTGAGTGAGGATTACATTACTGACATCCTCATGAAGGCTTTTAAATCATTTTAAGATTTTAAATCTCAGTTCAGATGACAGTAACAGTACTGTCTACCTAATATTAATTTGCCTTTAAAATAATTCCATTTTAAACCATGTCTTTATTCATATTATGGAATCCTCTTTTACTTTATTTTTGAGGCTAAAAAGTCATCTAAATTCCTTATCATTTATTTTATCATGGAAACAAAGAAGATTAAGTTAGAGGAACTATAAAATCAAGAAACCCTTTTATTTCCTGGGTATTCAAGCTACTTTTAGACACTCTCTATGTTATTGTTGATACATTGTGTCAATTTGAGAAGTTTAGAAGTTTAATTGAGGCAAAAAAATCAATAAGAGCTCGATTCTTGGTTACAAAAAATTTAATGAGGAAGCATTGAACTTGAACTATACCTTTAAACAGGTGTGACTAAAAGATATAAACCAATATTTCATCCAGAATAGTTGAGTATACTTTTTCTCAAGGGAATGTGAAATATTCTTCAGATAATGTTAGACCACAAAATAAATCTTAACAACTTTAAGAAGACTGAAATCATAGCAAGTATGTTCCTACTGCAGTGTTATGAAACTAGGAGCCAATAATGTATGGAAAACTAGAAAAATCACAAATAAGTAAATATTAACTTGAACAATAAAACATCAAAGTAGCTAAAAAAGAAGTTAAAAATATATGGAGAAAATAAAAATGAAAATGCAACATAAAATGTAAAGGATGCAGAAAAAGCAGTCTTTTGAAACAAATTTATGATAAAAATATCCACATTGAAAAGAAATATCTAAATAAACAACTTAAAGTTACATCTTGAGGGACTAGAGAAAGAAGAAAGGAAATCCAAAGTTAGGAAAAGACTAATAAAAGCCATAGTAGAAATAAATACGATATAAACTAGAAAAAATAATAGAAAATATCAACAAAATTAAGATTTGTAGTTTTCAAAAGACAAATCAACAGCAATTAGCTAGACTATGAAAAAAAGAGAAAAGACTCAGAAACAAAAGAGAAAACCTGAGCTAACATCTCTGAAATATAAAGAATGGTAAGAGATTACTATGAAAATCTGTAAGTCAAGTTGGAAAACAGAATAAATTAATTCCCAGAAATATTGAACCTACCAAGACTGACCATGTGTTGAAAATGTGAATGGATCAATCAAAAGACATTGATTCAGCGACAAAATATTCCTATCAAAGAAGAGTTCAGATCTGAGTACTTTCCTGGTAAATTCTGCCAAACATTTGAACATCTAAATATCATTCAATGTCAACCTCTTCAAAAGGCTGTGCAGGAGTAAATGACATACTCCAAACTAATTTCAAGAGGCCAACATTCCGGATATCAAAATTAACACTCTTAGGATAATATTCTAATGAACATAGATGTAACAATTCTCAACAAAGTACTATGAAATTTAATTTAACAATAAATTAAAAGTACCATTTTCTGCACTTAGTTATGTTTTATACCGGGGACACAATGATGTTTAATTGTGTGAATTAGTAAAAATGATATCCCACATTAACCAAACTAAGCTCAACTATATTATTAATTCAACAGATGCCAAAAAAGCACTTGACTAAATTCAACATCTTTTTAGAAGTTAAAAAAAATCTTTTCCAAAATTTGATAGAAGAGAGGGTAGCTTAAAACATGTAAAGGCCACATATATTGAACTCACAACTAACATCATTCTCAATGGCAAAAAGTTGAAAACTTTTCTTCTAGGATCAGTAATAAGAAAATGATACCCATTCTTATTTGTATTTAACATGGTATTGGAAGACTTAGAACAATTTGGCAAAAAGAAGCTGCAAAAGACATTCAAATAGAAAAGGGAGAATTTAAACTGTCTCCATTTTCAAATAACACAATCTATATATAGAAAAACTTAAAGGCTGCCTAAAAAGCTCTTAGCTAAATTCTGTACAATTGCTACATACAAAATCATTAAAAATAGGTAGTTTTTCTATATTTGGATAATGAATTTATGAAAAATCAATCAAAAATTACATTGAGGGGCTGGGGATTTAGCTCAGCTACATAAATACCTCCTTGCAAGTATGTGGTCATGAGTTTGATCATATACCAATAAAAAAGAAAAAGACAAAAAAAATTATATTGATTATAATAGTTAAAATTGCCTTGGAATCGATTTAACCAAGAAAATGAAAGATCTGCACACTGAAAGCTATAAAGCACAATACAAGAATGGGAGAAATCATGATTAAATAGAAACCTACGACATGTTCATGGGTTAGAAGAATCAATGTAGTTAAAATGTCCTTATTACCCAAAGCAATCTACAGATTCAATACGATCCTCATTAGAATTCCAATGACATTGTTCACAGAAATAGAAAATGCAATCTCATGGAAACACAAAGTGGAAATCACACTATCTAATTTCCAGTTACTCGACAAAGCTGTAAAAATTAAATCAGCATAAAACTGACATGCTGTTAAATGTATGACTCAAAGGAAAACAATCAACAGAATAAAGAATGTATGGAGTTGAAGAAAATGTTTGCATATTACATATCTTATGTAACTTCACACATGCTAGGGTAGAGATTACTAAAAAGATAAATGATAACAATTGCTAGTAAGGGTGTGTGAAACAGATGACCTTTGGACATTGTTGCTGGGAAAGTTAATGCAGCTTAAGAGAAAGCAATATGAGGCTTTCTCAAAAACTTAAACATATCATTCCTATATGCTGTGGCACTCCTACTAACGGGCATGTGCTCAAAGGAAATGAAAGCAGTATGTTGATGAGATACCTGCAGTCCATGCTGATTGCAGCATTGTTTACAGTAGCCAAAATACAGAGCCAATTGAAGCGTCCTTTGGCACATGGATGGAAAAAGAAAATGTGACATATATTCACAGTAGAATATTATTTAGTTTCAACAAAGAAGGAAATTTTGTCATTTGTGACCATGTTGGATGAACCTAGATGACATTATATGAAGTAAAATTAGCTAAATAAAAATAAATGCTGTATAATTTCACAGATATGTGGAACCTAAAATATTGGCCTCATAGAAGTAGTAAGTAGAATGAAGGCTACTTGGGGTTAATGGTGTGGGAAGACAGACAGATGCTGGTCAAAGGATACAAAATGCAGTTCAGAGATGAGTTCCAAGGATCTATTGTACAACATGATAATCATAGTTGCCATTTATTGAATACTTGAAAATTGCTCAAAGAATATGTTTTAAGTGTTCTAACAATAAAAGATTGAAATTATATAATGTTTGAAAAAGAATCTATTGAATACATATAATTTGCA